TGAAATATGTTGATCTTGGCAAGGATTTATTCAACACATCACCACAACAATAGATTCAAATAGAGCCACAAAAAGCAATCTTGCCAGTGCCAAAACAACCAGGGAAATAAAGCCAAATTCCCACTCTTAATATGGCACGTAATAAAAAATATCTGTTAAAAATCAAATCAAGTTGACAAAGCAATGCTAAAATAGCTTGGAATAGTGCCCCCAAAAAGATCAGAACAGCTTGAGACAGACAATATGCACTGGACTGTGAAGACCACTTTGTATCATCACAGGAAGAGACATAACAACCAGCATGATTGGCATTATTGCTAGCATCAATCAAAAGAGTTGGGTATGTAGTTAAAATATCAAATAAAGATGGACAGACGTGATGTAAGGCAACATATTTCTGTCAAAGATGTGTATTACTTTCTTTGTTCAGTGTTAGTTCTTCAGTCTGAACATCCTCTTCCTCACACATTCTTAACCAGATCTGGTTGTCTGTATTTACATGGCACCTAACATAAGCACTAACCACTACAACAGCAGATTACTCCAGTGAGTGGGAGAACACAAACAGGAACAGTCTACAAGTAAGATGCCTTAAAATCTTCTCATGGGTGCTTTAATGATGCCAGGCAACTAAATGGTAGCAATATCCTTCCTCTAACACCTTCTTAAGCACAAACAGGAACAGTCTACAAGTAAGAGGCCTTAAAATCTTCTCATGGGTGCTTTGATGATGCCAGGCAACTAAATGGTAGCAGTATCTTTCCTCTTACACCTTCTTAAAAAAAATAAATTAGCAACCATTTGGATAACCTTCTCAATGCATCTTTCACAACTGAGAAGTAGAAATCACTATTTTAAAAAAACATCTGTTTAGAATGCAGCATTTCTGAATATTTACAAGTCACCAGTCAAGTCTAGTACACACTGTAATGCCACTAGCATGACTAGACCCCTGTTCATAATTTTTATAAATTTTCTTCTAATCTATGGCATCAAACAGATAGATGGACAATGTGGGTTTGTACCTGAGAATGCAGGTTCAGCAAAGTATTCTCATATCAGACTATGTAAGCTTCCATCTGAATGTTAACCCTGGTTCTCAAACCATTGAGAGCATGAGAAAACTTGTATATGTGAGACAGTGGCCAGCTGATAAAATTCATTGGTTTTTTTTGTGGGTTTTTTTAGAATGGAAATAGAGAGCCACAAGCACCTGCACAGTTGAATATTGGGAAGAAGCACTTTGGTCACTAAAATACCATGATATACTTGATTTGCCCACTAAAAAGCACCAGGCAAATTTACTTTGTTCAGGTTAGAGGCGTATTTCATTCAGTTACACTGTGTCATCCAAAAGAAAAATAAAAACAGATTCATGTATGTTTTGCAAAAACACAACACACATTCTTTTAAGCGCTGCAAATAGGAGTTGACGAGGCTTTCAGACCGACAGAGTTACCAAAATGGTGAAAGAGAAATCACAATTAAACAATATGGCATGCAAGAAACTGTGCAGCCTCGAGATCTTGCTCTGCTTTCTTAATCAATCAGGCAATAGCTTACACAGCTTCTAATGACTTGTGCCTACACAAGGATATGGAGTTAATACAGGCCTGTGAGGTCTCAACACACTGCAAGAGTGTCATTAGTGAAAAGTGTGGGAATAAGGGATACCTCCTTCATCACATGGCCTTGTTATCTCACTGCAGTAAGAAAAGGTAGGGTTCGTGTCAGAGTCATCTGATTTATAATCTCCCAGACTGGCAGAACGGAAATACTGCTTACTGTAACGGCTTGCTCTTTCTACAAAGGTAGAAAGAAATAAAGAATATCACAGTAAATAGATGACAGAAGTGGAAAGACAAGGAGCAACATAAACCCCACCACTGCTAACATTCCAATTCATACACTGATGGTATTAAAATTAGAAACATCTTCATAGTTTTCGCCCATTTCAAGCACCATTAGTTCCAAAGCTTGCTTCAAAATCTGATAAAACTAAGAGTTCATTATGATGGTGCTTATGTTTTACTAATTAATATTCGGCTGTGCTGTCCCCCTAGTTTAACCATGTGACAGCCACAGGCCCACTGAAGTTTCAATATCAGTAGCAAAGAAAACACATATGCAAAATTAAAGACTCAAAAGAAACACTTTTATAGGGGAAAAAAATCCATAAACTTGTAAAGCCAAAATACTGCTGCCTCTTATTACATTACCTTCTCTCCTTTTCCATCTACCCTTAAATTATAAAGACCCTGGAGTTGCAAATAATAGCACAAAGCATAATATATATGTCATATAAGCAAAATGTGCATAGAAAAGAAATCAATTTCATAAACAGGCCACTTTCTATATCTCTGCAATTTTATGAGGTCCAACTATTGGAAAATTCTACTTATGCTGAGGAAAAAGTAGGTCAATGCTTAACTGGCTACTTGTAAGTGGTATGAATAACTTGTTTAGGATAAGATTTATTTCACTATTTCTTATCTGCACATGTGATTACAGTTGAAGTTCATATAAAACACTGCTTTAAAACTACTACAGTTATAAATATATATGAAAACACACTTATAAAACATATGGCTGGCACATTGACCTGAAAATTTACTGTATCAACTTAGCTTCATAAGCATAAAAAGCTGAATTGGGGTAAAGTCAGGATATAAGCAATACCAGAAAGCATATGCAGACTCCTAGACTGAATATTGTCCTCCAGAGGGTCAATGTCGAAGATGGAGCCAGGATCTGTGCGCCAAACTTTAAGATCTTTTTCCAAATCACAGAAATTATAAGACAGACAAACAACAAAGGAAGTAAAAGCATGAAAGGAATGACCTTTAACAACCAGCAATCAATTTTAGAAATTAACCAAAATATCTAGATATTCACCTGAAAGGATCGGAAAGCATCAACTTTCTGCATTCATTTTAAGCACCGACATTATTTTAAGGAGACTTTTGCTCCCATTTTTTAACTTTTCTAAACATGACCACAGTATTTTCTTAAGTCTAAGTAAAGAGATATGAGTATCAAATACCAGCAGTTCTTTTCCAGCAGCAGAACCAAAATCATCAGAGCTACAAAACTGTTTCCTCACTTCACCAACAGCATCCTTACCCCATGAAGGTGCTGCCATATATAACCCTATAACTGACAGCTGGCAGGACACAACTCTACAGCTGACAAAGGCACTTACAGACCTTCCTTTGCAGACAGGAGAGATCATGTCAGCCTAATAACCAGAACCAGGGGAATGATTCATCTTATCCAAAATAAATTTCTATTAATTGCCCAATTCGTATAAACTCAAAAGTATCCATCTTTCTTAATTAATACTAAAAATGGATAAGGCAACTAGTTCAGCTGTAGAAATCTACATTGTAGACACCTACAGTTGGGTAAAACGAAGCCCACTCTTGACCTTAACTAGCAATTATCTTCCAAATAACTAAGCTTCCTGGGACACAGACTTTCTGTTGATCCACTACCACATTGCTGAGAAGTATTTCTGGAATTCAATGTATGGATTCAGTAACAGTATTAAGCATAAGATCTTCAGCTTTAATTCATACTTGTATGTCATTAAGATCTCTCAAATTCACATCACAGCAGGATATTAAAAGAAAAAAGACTACATAAGAAATAATTCATTTCGTATCAGTCTTTAAGTTGAAATCACAGCAGAAAAGCAAACATAGATTGAACCACGTTTTAATAAACTTTTAACTAGTAATTACAGCAATGTATAGCTTAAGAGGAGGCTTATAATAAATGCAGAGGCAGATACAGTGCAAATCCTTGATCTACTCACATCAGCCTAATATATACAATTTATATGGGCACAAGTCTGGAGGGTAAGAAGGCTCTACAGAGGGATGTGGACAGGCTGGATTGATAGGTCAAGGTAAAAGGTATGAGGTTCAACAAGGTGCAATGCCAAGTGCTGCACTTGAGTCACAACAACTCCATGCAGTGCTACAGGGTGGGTGACGAATGGCTAGAAATCTGCTCAGTGGAAAAGGACCTGGGAGTGTCGGTCAATAGTGGCTGAACACAAACCAGCAGTGTGCCCATGTGGCCAAGAAGGCAAAATGCATTCTGGCCTGTATCAAAAAGAGTGTGGCCAGTAAGACTAGGGGCAGTGATTGTTCCTCTGTACTCTGCACTGCTGAGGCCACACCTCAAATCCTGGGTTCAGTTTTGGGGCCCTTACTACAGAAAAGATATAGGGGTGAAGTGTGTACAGAGGGGGGCAATGAAACTGGTGAAGGGTCTGAAGCACAAGTCTGGTGAGGAGTGGCTGAGGGAGCTGGGGGTGTTTAGCATGGAGAAAAGGAGGCTCAGCTGAGCCTTATCATGCTCTACAACTACCTGAAAGGAGGTTGTAGTAAAGTGGAGGTTGATCTCTTCTCCCAGGTAACAAGTTACAGGACAAGAGAAAATGACACCAAGTTGTGCCAGGGAAGGTTTAGATTGGATATCAGGAGAAGAGTTTTCACCAAAAGGTTTATCAAGCACAGGAAGAGGCTGCCCAGGGAAATGGTTGAGTCCCCATCCCTAGGGGTATTTAACAGGTGTGCAGACGTGGTGCTTGGGGCCATGGTTTAGTGGTGGGCTTGGCAGTGCTAGGTTAACAGTTGGACTTGATGATCTTAAATGTCTTTTCCAATCTAAATGATTGTGTGGTATCTGCTGTGTCTAAAATAAAAGAATCACTTAATCTCTCCAAACCAGTTTCAAATAAAACTTTGACATAAAATACAATCGTTCAAAGCACAAATCAACCAGATCACACCTTTTCACTAGGGGTTTGCTTCTTAGGCAGACCTGCCTGCAACATTTTCTCAATGCAGTGGAAGTGGGGAAAAAATTTCTCTTCCCAACTTGGTTCTTTTGCTGGTTTGAGTGGTACCAAGCTAAATAATGGGTTGGCAGCTAAAGTAGGACTGTGAGGACCCCAGATATGCTGTGTTTCAAATGATTAATAGCCTAGATACAATGGAAAGAACAGACAGAGCTAATAAAATAAATCCCATGGCTTTAAAATACATTCAGTGTATCTACATTATACATTATCAACCACAACTCCCAGAAGGTGAGGTGTGGTGCTAACTCCTTCTTGACAAGAAGAATAAAAGCCAACACAAAATATTTTGATAAACTATGTGTTAGTCCTAGCAGTGATAAATTATGTAACTACATAAAGCACTGACAGGCATGAAAGGGGTGGGGGAACAGCTGAATGCCCAACTTTTCCTGCTTGATCATGCCTTAGTAAGTAAAAATATAGTAAGTATGGCTTCATAGCAGCACCAGAGCTTGATTTGTATTGATTTTATCCATCTCTGTAATCTGAAATAACAGAGAATCAGAATCTTGGCAATTTATAACAGAAATCAGATTTAACTCCCTGGTAACTTTTGCCAATTTAAAATTTCCTTATATTCATGTGAGAATTGTGGATCCTCTTTAGTAACAGATGCAAAGCTCAGCTAACAATTTATCTTGATGGTTTTAGGATGGCCCTAGCATAGTTAAAACTAGTGCCTATTTGCAAAAGTAGAGGCATTAATTTTAGCAATCAGGCATTTGAACAAGTTACCACTTCACCAGTAATACATTAAAAGTCAACCAGATGGACTCTAACACAGAGGTATTTTTCTGAACCAGCTGAACAATTATCAGCTAGGAAAAACTCACGACAGTCATAATCGTGTTTTTCAGTCTGCAGTCTTCTTTTGAGCTGCCAAGGACATTCCATGAGCAGGGAGCTCACTGCTTCTTTTTAAACAAGTAGATATTATAATTGCAGTTCACTCTGAAAAAGTATTAGCTAAAATATCACAGGTTTGTCATGGCCTTTTTCCTTTAAATAATTGTACTATTTATGATGTTTTGTGGACATGCAGCACAGAGTAGGAGGTTTGAAGCATGCACTAAACAGCATATTGCCAACTGTATATTACACTGCAAAGTTGCAGGACTTTTTTGCTTTGGCCACATCACTTCTAGCCATGGAAGTGTGTTTAAGTGCTTGGATCTCTACATATAATGATTTTCTGAACAAGCTGTTGTTCAGAAGATCCAGAATGATCCTTTGAGACTTCCATGGTCTTCAGACTATCAGTGCCTACCCCAGGCAGAGCTCTCTAAACACTCATTTTGGGAAATCCTCTCTGACATCAGGCTGTAGCTAGAGACATGTAAAAGGCAGCTACACAAAAGTAAAGAAATACACTTCTTTATGTGAGGGAGAGTCATTTGGACACTTTAAGGAAAAGATGGAAAAAGCAACTGCTTTAGGCAGGAGGATGGATTATATGATCCACCAATTAGTCCATTTCACCTGCAATTTCTCTGATTTTTTAGAGTAAACTTAGTCAACCTTGCTGCTATCACTACGCATGATTTTCAAATGTACCAAATAACATCATGTCATACTCTGCCTTTACATAGTAATCTAAAGTGTATTCTACTCTCTCAACACCTGGTCTCATCTTAGACCATCTTTTAGAACATCATTTCTGAACACCAGTGCTTGGCTTACCAGAAATCTAACAAGTTATTGATGAATTACAGCTTAAGTTATTTTTGAAGCTGCCTGAAATTCTAAAGCAAGAGGTGAATGAAGCATGTGCAGCTCTGGAGAAATTGTTAACTGACAGAAGGGGAAATGTCAAACTGGCCTGCAATATTTGAACATTGAAATCTTGGAGAAGCACAGTTTCAAACATCTTCCTTCTATGCAAAATGAAGACTATTGCAGATATTTTGGCCTTCCGTAAAGAGTTAAAATTCAAATAGAAAGTAATAGCAACAACTATCCATATTATTTTCAAAATTACAGAGCAAATGGTAATGTATCTCCCATTCATTCCCATTGTTATTTCACTCAAAGTTGGCATTGAACCAGTAGTTCAATACAAGTTTCATGCTGAGAAAAGAGTGAAAAGGAAATCTGGAGAACATGAGCAGATGCTTTCCCACAGTGCTTTCAATAGCAACAGTATTTAATAACTTACCAACAATTATTCCAGGTCTTCTATCCATTTCAACAATATGTGGATGCACACCCTTATATGCTGCATCACTCACAATTTGTGTGTTTTTCCGTACACGCTCTGTTATAGGATCATCTACCACTGGGGTGAAGCCTCTGCCCTTTGTCTTCTCAAAATCTTCATGGTATTTTACCTAGGAAAACAAGAAGAGTTACATTTTTCCCCAAGCTGCAATTGACAGCAAAGAGTCATTCTATGCAGAAATGCATACATGCTTGTTTTATGAGGCTTTTACATTCTTTGGGTTTGCATCATAATGGAATTGTTACATATGTGAGATAGGCTGGATAGCTAGCCAAGTCTTCTATCTCCCTAGCTTGATTTCCTGATATTTTATTAGCACTTTTGCATTTCTTTTCCATTTACACTGTATTAGACACCAGCTCAAGCAGCAAAGTATCACCTTGCTGTCACACAGGACACAAATGCCCTGAACTCAGAAGGTCTTCTGGTCCATTCCCTTCTTCTCTAAGATAGGATAGCTTTCTATTGATGCAGAAAACATCTGTCAGTTAAAAATGTTCCAGCAGTAGTAATCCTAAAGAACTCTAAAGAACTCTCTGAAGAATTCTAAAGAACTCTAAAGAACTAAAGTATTTTCATTCACTGAGAATTTTGACTGCATGCACAGTTTTATATAAAAGGGGTTTTTTTGCTCTTACATTTTATCATATGACAGCTGACTTTAAACACAGGTTTTTTAGAAAAAACAGCAGTTATTCTAAACAGCCTGCTGTTCAAAACCAAAATAAATGAAAAACAAAGACATTAGAGTAGAAAGTGTTACAGAATGAAGCATTGGAATAAAACCCCAGTATTAGTAAGAGTTATAAAGGTAGTACTGCTGATTATGCATATTCACTTTTTAAATAGCCTTAATCATCAAAGAATTAAACTGACAAACATTCTCACGCAAGCAAATGCACACAAAACAACTCATTCCAGGAACCAAAGTCACGCAGAAACCAGGAACGTGCACAGGCACAAGATGAAGTGTGTCACCTAATCCAGTGAAATCATGATGCTCAAATGAGGCGTGTACATTTTTAAAGAAAAAAAAAATCCAAAAGAACAGACACTTAACTGTTAGAAAACTGTTTATTAGTATTTTGAAAATGTTCATTACAGTCATATGCAGTTAGCAAACACTTCCTCAACAGGTGTAAGAAGAAAATATTCCTTCCATACTCCAGGAGAGAGTTTCATTAGTTACCTATATTAATGGAAGGCAAAATCCAGTGGAAGTCAAGTGCCATTCCTTAGTATACTCTAGTTATAGGAAGAGAGTACCCTACCATTGAGATGTGGTTTTGTGTTTCTTTGACATGCCTTAGCTCAGGTGTGTCTAGGAGCACACTACGTCTACCTTTCATCTGCCTCTGATCACTGCTGTACTTGACCTGCAAAACAACAACAACAGCACAGGTGAAATTTTTGTTTACAGTAAAAAGGATGGTGAGAATCACACTATGCAATGGTAAACCCTTTCCAAATCACAATGCCCAAAGGTTTTCTTGTTCCTTTCTTTAAACTCATTTGCTAGTAAATTATTTCAGAGAGAGGGTGCAGATGAGCTAGCATATTGATAAGGCCAAAAGGCATGTTTATTCCATTGATCACTTACACAGAAAGAAGTATTTACCTGAAAGCTGAAATTCATGACTCTTTAAATAACAAAAGTGAAATTATTTATTCATCGATTGAAAAAAATAAGATAAATAATAAGAAAACACCACTGTAACCTGGACATCTTTAAAACATATTTGTATGGCTGATGATGAGCTACCTTCTCATTACCCAGACAAACCCAGAGTCTGACCTTAGTCTGCTTCCAGGCTAGGATTGGCTGAGAACCTCAAGGAGTTCAACTCTTACAACTGGATTAATCCTTTGGAAGTCTTCTCACTCCTGTTTGGTAGCTAGTCTCTACTAGCAGCACAAAAGCAACAAGTCTGGGACAAACCTGAATACACTGTTTCCAAAAAAAACATTTGGGCTCTGTGTTTTGTGCATCAGTAAGTACAGAACCTCCTGCATCACATTTCTCCTGACGAGCTTCTTTTGTGGCATTTTACAGACTAGTAAAGATGCAAGGCTAATTATCTGTTAATATGAAAATAAACTACTCAAAATTCTAAAATATTAAAAGTAGTTGGTCCTACTTAATGGCTCTAGAGTGAGTACTCTTATGGTTTCTTCTGGCTCACTGAATTCTACCAACAGCTTCTCTTAGCTTCTACATTGCATTGTAACCTGTGCACTGTTAGTAAATATTTTAGATTTATCTATGTATTCACACTCAAAGTATTACCTCTTGAATCAGTTGTGCAAATCTATTTCATGCATTTGTGATGAGAGAAACCACATTGAAACTAACACTCCTTAAGATTGCATATTAACTAAGAAAACACATGTATGAAAATACGAGTCAGTGTCTATGTTTCATAAGTAAATTTGAAGCAATGTACAGAGAAACAAAAATATATGGTACTGCATATTCTTCAAACCCATCTTAATTAAACAATAAATTTTCCTAGCAAATATATTCAGCCACATATGCGTTTGAATATAAGGCATTTTCTGGACAGAATAATTACAGTCAACATAGCTTGGTTTTAATCTACTGCTCATTAACATAGAGGAGTATTTATCCCTGTAAATCTTGAGAAACAAAGTGAAGGGGTCACTTGAAAAGAAGTATTTCATTTTCATAAATTAAAAAAATTCTAGAACGGTTGTGAAATTTTCCTCTTATTTTTAGCTGTGTACCTGAAAACGAATTGACTTTGGTAAATATTCATGATCATTTGAAGAATGTACTTAAGATATATGTACTTACAATGTCAGATTCTGTTCCTTCTTCCTAAGACAAATCCCCTGACAAATCCAACCTACCTGACTTTATACTCCTACACTCAGTTCTGAAGTGTTCACTACTCTTAATTCTCTTCTGCCATCCTGACACAGTGGTTCTGCATGAAATCTCTTCTATTTACCATCCACAGCAACTTCATCCCTGATGTTTCAGCATTGAGGATACAGACCACAACACAATTGTTCTGATCCTTTACTTTACCATGCTGTTTTGACTTCTTCCTTGCTCCTTACTAGAATTATCTCCTGCTTCTTACACCACTGCAGTGGCAATTAAATTTTATCAGCATAATAGCCAACACATATATATTATTTTACTCTTTACTATTTAGTAGTAGGATCCATTTAGGACAACTCAGCTTTAATATTGGTGGCATGTCATAGAGTGGAATGGATGCTTCTGTGCTTTGAATCACAAACAAAAAGAAATTTGAACTAGAGTTAAATTCTCATTTCCTTTGTTCTTTACTGTAATTTACTCCTGCAATCTAGCAACTAAAATTCAGTAACAAGAGACAAAGCTTCTTGAATGAATGACTGACCTCTACTGACTCTCTCCTTAAAAAACACTGGCACCAACACTACATACATTTTTTGCAAGAATAATCAGGCAAGTGTGAATATTTTTGTTGTACTTATGTGCAGTGTATATACACAGAGAATAAAAAAAAATCTATTCAGCGCATGATGGAGTTGGAATCCTTTGACACATCAAATCTAAATGAAAAAGCATATCCATGTTATATTTCTATAATGACTGGAAATCTAAATGACAAAAAGATTCAAAGAACTTGCCGAGCTGATATTATCTTGATTCTTCCTGACTCTCTCTATCTCAGGAGTGACACTCACAGCAGTAGCTTTGCCAGGTTGCTCTCTGTAGTGAACCTATTATTTAACAGAACAAAATGGTACATACTATTTCAGCTAAAGTAATATCCCATTGTTTTACATTAAAATGCATGATTTAAAAGGTCATCCAGGAAACAACTGAAAAGCTAAAATACATTTGAAGTCTATTAAAGTTTAAAAAACTTGATTTTAGAAACATAACCTTGAATTTCTTTCTGTATAGGCTGCTGATTAATGCATTTGTATGGATATATACACATATATGCACACAACATCTTGACATTTACCAGACTGGTCCTTGGCTGTACAGAAAAATATCGCATATTTGAAATGGGGCTAAGCCACAAATAATGCAGCAAGGTCAAGCCGAGCACACAACAAACTGAATTTCAGCAAGGTCCACTGCAGATGTATAACTTGTCAATACAGAGAGATTCCATAAGGTTACCTCCTGTGTTTTAAATTTTATACTCTACATATCCAAAGTTGATTAAACACAGAGGGTGCAATACATCAGACAACTGCCAATTGAATCCAGCCTAAATTTCACAATGTGTTTATTTCAGTGTACTGTAGGAATAGCCCATTATTGCTTTTTAACAAAATACACTTGTAGCAGTGATGCATTAACCAAATGCACACTCAAGGGCAGATCAGCAGCTAAAGCAGATAAAGGATAGGATGTGGCATGGACAGACCAATGAGTGTAATGTTAACCTTGGCCCCAAATGCTAGGAAGTCATTTAGTAAGAGATTCTGGCAAGAGATTTATGCCAATCCATATAGTTTTATGTTAAATAAATGTGTCCATACAAAACATTTTTTTCAATAAGCTCTTGGGTTTGTGTGATAAAGATAACTGTGCAGATACATTATGCTCATAATTCTGCAGTGCACTATGGCAGTAATGGTCAAGCAGTTCTTTTCCCACACAACATAGTTTGGATCTGTCCACATCAGTATACTCCAATTAAAAAATTAACATCTACATCAACCCAAAAATTATGGCAGGCATTCAAATGGAGCAAACATGCAAACTGATATTTGTAAAGTTAAAATGATTATTCAAGAATTATTGTTTCTAGATATGACTGAAGTTAAACAATCATCACCCAAAACTAATCCAGTGACCTGAAGAGAGTTTAAACTTTCCAATGAAATTTGCACAACAGAAAAATTGGTGAAAGCTAAACAATAATGCAAGTAGAAAAACTATACAGACAGGCTTGAATCACTTGGGAAAACAGGTTTGTTCAAACAGAATGCATTTGAGGGGAGCTAGATTTATCAACAAAAATCTGGGATTTAAGTTAAAGGGACAGAACTGTAAATTAAAATCTAAATTAATTCTGGGGACGGTGGCAGAAAACACCCTAGAAAAACACTGTGGCTATTTGTAGACCCATGAAATATGATTGCTGATGTCAGCTCCCAGTGAGGAGACTCATCATTAACAGGGTGCAACTTCATCAATGCAGTAAGGCAGTAGCATGCTCCAAAAGTCCTTGCTTTCTTCTCTGTGCTCCTGGGAATCCTATGACTTTCTGAGGTTTATGTCAGCTACCAAATACTAAACTCTGATAGGAAGACTACTGAGGAACCAGAAAGAGACAGAAAAGAGTGCAGAAGTTTGAGCAGCAAATATTTTGGCAGCCAATTTTTTACAAATATAACTGGAAAGAGGTTTTTCTGTTAAAAAAAATCAGTCAAGATTTCCTGCAAATATCCAAGACATAACATCTCAAAGCATTGCAGCCATTTCTTTAATCAAATATGTGATGCTTCGTGTGCCATTTCCCAAACCAAGCAATGCCTTTTCACAATTGCTTCCTAAAAGAGGGTTTTCAAGTGATTCCATTACTTGAATTCCAATACATTAATTTCCACCCAACAAAAGAAAAGGCACAGCTTCTGGAGACAGAGCTTTGTACTCCTGTGCACCCAAAAAGTATACAGAGGATTAACTGAGAGCAACTTCCCATGCTGACATTCTCTTGATTCCTCTTGACTCTTTCCATCTCAGGGGTGACACTCACAGGTGTAGCTTTGCAGAGCTGTTCTTTGTACTGAACCTAGCAAACATAGCAAAAAAATATTACAACAGGAATACCAAGTAACAGAAGTACAACAGCATGTCAGACATCATTAAAGAGCACACTGCATTTGGATGGAAAATACCATTCCTTAACAATCACCCACACAACACTTAGTACTCACCCTCTTGCAGTTCTTCTGTTTCAAACACAGACAATTGATACTTCAACAGGAGAACTTCACTCTCATTGATGTTAATCAAAGCACAAGCCTAAGGAGTTATTGTTTTACCATTAAATGATTAAATCAGTCTTTGTGGACAAACAGGAACTAGCACAAACACTACAGATATTCACTGAGACACAAACACATTTAATGCAGCAGAGAGAAGCATGCAAGCAATGAGAATGGGGCACACATTGCTAATGTTCTTCTGGTTTTCTTTAACCCTCCTTAGTTCAGGTGGATCCGAAATCGCTGTTGCATGCTGAATTTCTTCCTTGTATTTAATCTGCACAATAAATATTCTAAAATATTAGCAACTTAAAGAAGATACAGGCAGGCACTAAAACACAACAACAGTTTCTAATGACTCCCTTACACATACAGCACAGCTAGACTACATCCATCAACACTATTGACCTGAAAAGGAACAATGGTACTTAATTTCTGGACCAGGCTGCTCGGGTCTCTAATGCACCTTGTTTGGTGCAATGCAGCATAGAGTGCATAGAACAAGCCTAGTGCCCTAAAATTCTTATGGTAGGAATATATATCCCATGGGATTGTGGCTATCCTCATGATAGTTGGGATGCTGCATACACTACTTGGTGACCTGCAACACTCTGACAATTACTTGGTCTTCCTACGGAGTCTATCAGTCCATTTCAGAAACCCAACATTTCTCAAATGTGTTCCTAAGAGGGTGGATGACTTCAGAGTCTCATTCAAGTTCTCTAAAGACACATGCAGACACATAACTGAGAATGCAGCTATTTGGATGGACAATGCCTCTGAAGATGCTGTCAGATATTTACTATTCCTTTTGCAATATTTCATTTTAAACTCTCTTCTCCAAGACATGGTACTTCTGGAGAGTGCCCAATTTCTTAACACAGACAAAACTTGTTTTTCCCTAAGCTCATACTTGGAAGCTGAAATTTATAAATAAAACCAAGCCAGCCCAAAGCACAGACCAGGAATGGAAAATTTCAGTCCAGACAGTTTAGGACTGGCAAAAATACTATAGCACTGGAAAAAAAAATAAAGGGTCTTTTAATAGAGACTATTAGGTAAGTTTAAGAATTGTCAGTGCTACTAGTCCTTAAAATGCTTTAAAATGTCCATTACTTCAGTTTTAATCAGACCCCAGTTTTATTGTATTGACTGACATACCACAGGGCTTTCCTCATGGATTTCAGACAAAACCACAAAGAGAATCTTCTGCTGAATGCCTTCTTCCCAGTGCTGTGTCCAGCCCTGCCTGTCCCTCAATATAAACAAGTTTTTAAAACATCCTTAGTTCTTTATAGCTTCTCAGCTCAGATTCAGCCACAGTCCATGGTTCTGTTGCTTCTTCTGAAAGTTCTGTGAGATCTTGACTTCAACTGTTCAGGAGGCCACATCTTCCAGATCGATCACCTCAACAGGTGACAGCAGCTTAACCTCCCTGGCTGTCACCACCTTATTTTTAAGGATTTGTAAGCAGATCATTCTGATCTCTGCCTCCTATATATGTAAACTGGAAGAACCTGTTCACTTTCAGAACATGATCTAATGGATTTTTTGCATAGTTGGTTGTATAGTGAGTGTTATTTTGGTTTGGTGTTCTGGGGTTTCTATCAGTGCAAATTTGCTTTACATTCCATAGTTTCATTTAGCTCAGAAAATAGTTTTAAAGCTGTCCTAGGTTCTTCTGGCTAAATTCAAAGATAAATGTAAAATATTTAAATCTAATGGATTCAAAATTGGTGTAATTTACTCTTCCTTTGGGACTCCTGTAAATTACACAATATAATTTCCCTCTTACTGCACAATATAATATCCCTCTCACTGACATATAATTTGAAACATTCTTGCATATTGCCTTTAAATTTGGCATTCTACACTTTTAATAAATATTATACAAGACTTAAGTAATTTCAAGTACACTACATGCAATAAAATACCAAGTTAAAGGCCACACTATTTACATCATACCACTACTGCATTTTGTGTTTCTCTTGGTATGTTTTTGTTCAAGTGTTTTTACCAGCATACTGATTGACCTTTCATTTTCTCCTCTTCACCACTGTTTAGGATTCCTAAAACAGCTAGAACACTGTACACTATTTTTCCATTTCACTTTGAAAGGTGTTGTGAAAAAATTGCTAATAAGCCTCAGTGTGTGTGTGCATGTGTGTGACTAGTCTCAAAATAAATACCTGTGGTAACTAGAAATCCAAAAAAAACCCAAACAAATAAACAAATTCAAAAGTTCAAAAAAGCAAACACCCACTCTCAAATCAAGTAAACCAACAGCTCCCCAAACACAAACACTGTTTCAGGGTTTAGGACACATGATACCTTGCACTGTGACTCCAAATGACAAGACAGAAAGTGATGGATGGAGCAGAGAAAAATTCCAAGGAAAATATGAGCTTTTCAAATTTTATGGGAATACACTGCATGACCTTACATTGGTGGGAAATGCAGTGTTTAACACTACTCAGTAAGCACATAAATTCTACTACCAACAGCTGTCCAGAGTCCCTGATTTGGATTTCAAATAATATTTAAACATCACCTAATGTCATGTCCATAAGTTACTTTCAAACTTTACTTTTAAAAAAGCATCTAATCATCAGAACAGTCACAGCACAAACATAGAAATGACCCTGGTTGAGTTCACTGCAAATATAACAAACAAGTGAACAATGCAGTTACAAGGGTTTTCTTGCTTGGCAGTCACTTTTCTGCTTTTTTCCAAGTTTTGCCACATATTTATCAGAAGAGAATGTTCTACTTGAAGAAAACACTCATTTTAATGTTTTATTTTTAGTTGTCCATTAAAGTGCCAAAGACATTGGGAAACCATAGCTAAACAACATCAATTCAAAACAATCCTATCAGATCCTCAGATCAACTTGTAATCAGCATGTAAAGCCACAAACTCCACTTTTCACCCAGCTCAAGTCTGCACACAATTTTCCTCCTCTTGAAGTGCAAACTCTATCAACTCCTATGTAATACATGCAGACTCTACCAGAGCTTTACAGATTTTCTTTTTTGTCATATGGTATTTTTCTAAACTGCAAATACAACTGTTGTTCAGTCTGTGATATTGGGAAATACATCTCATGTTTCTCACCCTTCAAAGACAAAACATTTTCCTTAAATATTTAAAGTTTTTCCTGTTTTTCATAATGTTTCAATTTGAAAATATACCTTTGGACATAGAAAAACTATACTACAGATGAGCTCTAGCTCTACTAGAATGGAGCTCTATATCCAAAATCCAGTGCAGTACTATTTGATTGAGATGTGTGATATGAAAATGTATAATTTTCAGTGAACAAGCTGAAAAAAACCTGTCCATCATTTACTTATATAAGAATAATTAATGTTAATAGCACTTACCGAACTAATATTCTGTTGATTTTTCTTTACTCTTTCAATCTCTGGAGTCTCTTTTACAGCTGTGCCTGCTCCTACTTCCTTCTTATAAAACACCTTCATTTCCCCAGAAGAAAAGGTAATTATGAGACTGTTAGCAATGCAAGTACAAGTTCTCATAAAAGGGCTGGGCAATTTTCCAACTCCCCAATTGGTCTGACTATAAATCTTGCTAAGAAAGCAAATACTTTAATTTTTCATTAATCAGAGCAATTATCAATAACTATGATAACATTGGTTTCAGCTGTAACCCAGATAATACACTGGCATCCTTTAGATTGACCTCAGCATTTCTAAGTATTTGTAATGAGAGTTTTAACTTTTGAAATAGCTTTAAAATTTTTATCATCATCTATAAACTTTTATAAATGCAACTTTATGCTTGAGTAATTTCATTCATTTCAATGTAATTGAATGTGGGTGTATATGCAAGACTTGATTTGGGTTTTTTAAATCTTTAGATCTTAAAATACTGCAAAAAGTGAACAGATATTACTATTATTTCGAATTTAATGAACTAGAAAATCGACATGCTCATGACAAAACAACCAAAACAACCAGAGCTACAATCCAAGTCATGCAATTTTTGACTTCTGGGTTCAAGCCAGAAAGCTGAGGACTGCATCTCAAAACAAAGCTCATTTCTGAAAAGATACACATGCTGTTTATATAATTCTCCTCTCTATTTCAATTGTTTCATTAAAGGATAAAACACAAAGTGCATCTGTAGAATCAATCATTCAAAGTTACTGAAAGAGACAGCAAATAACTACAAATTCCAAGTGTAGCTATAACTTAAATAACCATCGTGCATCAGTTCATGCTGCAAAACTCTAAAAGAAGTTTGACTGGAATTTCAGTATTTGGTGTCACAGATGTTGCCATTCCAGTAAGTATTTCCAGGCTGGTAGTGTAAAAAACAAGTCTGATCCTGCATTTCTTTCTGTCTTTCTTAAACCAAGATTTATTTAACTTTTCCTATCAATAAACCTTAAACAATAAAAACTTCATTCTTGATTAATTTCTCCGACATCCTTGAAGTCCTCTGTAACCTAGGGTGAATACTCCTGCCAAATATCCTAGAGGAGAACTAATGTACAAAAGTAATTTTTTTAATATTCAGAAAACCTTTAACAACGTAGAATTTTCTTTTAGCATGTAAGAAGAGAGACAGTTTATGAGCAAGAACTTGAAAACTCTTTTGCACCAACAGGTCAGGTAGAAAGATTCATACTGTAGACTGAACTCAAATATACTTTTCTCCTCTACCAAGGAGGGATTGGCAAGATATGTGGGAGACAGGAATTCTTCTATGAAAGAAATGACTGTGCAGTAAATAGCCTATTGTAAATCATCTGCCAAATGAGCTAGTGAGCTAAAAGCAGCAATGATCTTATCTGTAGAGCAAGTCACTTTTTTTGTCCCTTAAGGCAGGAAAATACTTGAGAGAAAAAAAAATAAAAACTATTAGGGATCATAATTTTTATTTTTTTTGTTGAGACTGCTCCCAAATATATCTTAACACAGTAAAAAGTAACTTACCTTTGTCACCTAAATTTCACAGAAAGTTGAAAAATTAAAACAAACAGAAAAAAATATAATTCCATCACAGCTATAAACTGCTTTCCAGCATTTGGAGGATCCCGTTCAGAAACAGAAAAATCAATCACAAAATAAAGCAAATAAAAATTGCCTCAAAGACAAAACATTTTATTACCTATTCTCTGCTACACTAACCAAGAGGACAATTGTCAGCCTTGGCACTGAAGGCCCAAACTCCCCGCGGGGCTGCAGGAGGTTCAGATGTGCCCAAGCCTTGCCCAAGCTGCAGTGGTGGAAGGTGCCTAACTGTTGGTGAGTCTGCACTGCCAGACCCACTGACCTATCTGAGGTCTTCACCCAAAGCTGCCAAAGGCTGGATCCAGGTCAGCTTGGATCCCCTCTGTTACTGGGAGTTTCAGCATAGAGTGTTAGCATACCAGTGACACGAGAAATGGTGATCATCACCATCACACCATGCACAGACACCAGTCAAAACCAGGAGACAACACATGATGAGCAACAAGATTGGGCCAATGGGCCCGTCCAGAGCTCCTATGAGAAAGATGCAGCTTTCAGTTGTCCTCGTCCAAAGGAAGAAAAAAAGCAGGTTAATGGCTAGAATCTTACTCCTCTGCTGAAGCCTCAGCTGTGCAGAATAGCTCAGGCAAACACCTCAGAGAGAAACTGAGCTGGTTCTTCTTAGAGTTGGCTAAGCTGAGGATATCTCTAAGTTAAACATCATCTGGGTCAGATAATGCTAAAATATATAAGTGACTTGTATTCCTTTCCCTCAAAATATTGGTTTTATTAATATTACTTAGTCTACCATAAAAAAACCTGCCACTAACTTGCCTTCTGTTCTGGAGGTTAGATTTACTCCTCTTCTCTGTTACATGGCAAGCAAAGGCAGAATTACAAACAGCAGAATTAATGGGCTCAAAAAGAAAGTGGAACTTAATACATCCCAAACTTGGCACTTTTAGAAATCTAAGCTCATCATTTATATTAGGGATAAACTGAAGCTTAAATCTAGCATGAAATTTAAAAATATACCCAGTGTAACATAAAATCATTAGATATATATTTATGAAACCTGATCTGTTTTAATTTTATACCCAAATCTTATGTTTGGTACATATGATACGAAACAGATGAAAAATCTTATATGCACAGTAAGAAGCCTTAGATTTGTTTTCCCTTTTAAATAAAGTGCTTCCTGAGACTTAATGGAGAAAGAAAAAAAAATCTTCATTTAAAAATAACTGTGGGTTGGCAAGGTGGTAGAAGTGGTTTAGAAATTCAAAACAACAGTGTCACACCTAGAAAAGCTGGGTATTTCTTTACTGAAAGAAATGAGTGATACAGCTGTTGCCAGGAAAATTATGCAAATGGTTCAAAAGACTTTTACTCATAAGTTCCCTATTTCATGCTGCAGCTCAAGAGAGCCTATTTAAACTGAAAAACATCTGAAAAGCTACAAGCAAAGAGGGAAGAACTATTACTCACTGAACTGATGTTTTTCTGAGTACTTCTTATCCTCTCCATCTCGGGAGTATCTGGGACAGCAGAATAGTTAGACAGCATCTTCTCTGCTTCATCTTTGTACATTTTCTGAAAAATAATTTTTTCATGTCTATTCATGCTTTCTTGGGCTGAGTATATCCAAACTGCAACAAAAGATGCTTATTGCTGTTGAGCCTCCTTGTCCCTGTCCAGTATTTATTTCAACATGCCTCCACCATGACATTGTTAGCATTGTCTGTCCCTCACACTAAAATGATATAATATGCATATATGTCATATATCCTCATCTATATATCCTCTTCACTGTCAGGATATATATATAATGTATCACTAGGTAATGCAAAAAGACATATGGGTACATGTAAACAATTAAATTCAATTTACATGGTGTAACAGGCCTAAATACAAATAAGAATCAGGCAGTTAAGATGCTTTACTACACATGAATTAATTTATTATGGGTATGAAAGCATCTACAGAGCTAGGGAAGAAGTATTTTGAGCAATGTATGTCAAGTACTCGGTACAAAAAATTAAAATGTTCAGCCTCTGAACTATGTCTACCTGGCTTGCTATTTCTGAAGCCTTTTGGGCTCATATATCTGGAGTATATGGGCCAACTTGCATCCCTTTTCCTGTAATTTCAGTCTCCAGATCCTTTTTATATTCTTTCTGAAAAACAAATAAAAGGGAATAAACCCCCATAACTAATACTACAGTTGTCTGTACATGCTGTCTTCAAAGCTATTCTGATAGTACTGGCTAGACTTTAAAAACAAAGTCTCCAATTTCTTTAATCTATTGGTTTTATTGTGCACTGCTTAATTCTTTTAGCCTAAGAATGTTCAGTTCAAGAAGATTTTATGGTTTTAACATCTCATTGTGTTTTACTTCCAAATAAAGCAATTCATTCTGTACTCACCTGGCTGACAATTTCAGAAGCTTTTCTAGCTCGTTGTATGTCAAGGGTATCTGTGCTCACTTCCATTCCCCTGCCTTTAATTTCATTCTCCAAGTCTTTCTTGTATTCTTTCTGAAAAGAATAGCATTGGAAATACTCATGTCTGATAGCTAAATTCTTAAACTGTTCCCAATTTAGTCTGTGTAATTCCACTGAACATAAAACACCAAATAACTATTGATTCAACAGCACTAGCTTTGTAGAATCTATACATGTGACACCTACACTGTAACTGCTGACTGGTTAAAAAATTCCTTTAAAAGACTACTCGCTTCAAATCTGATGTAGCCTTTCACATCTAGATGTCTTTGCAGTTTGGGCAGCCACAATCACAGACACAGGTAGATGAGACATTTTCCCTCAGCTGTGCTTTGCAAGACTGGGATCATAAGGCTTCAACATCTCTCTAACTCTGTTTGTCATTTGGCCCTAACTAAATAAACAGCTAATTAGACCTAAAAGTAGTAGGGCCCATAGCTATCAAACACATCCCAGGCCAGGCATGGCTCATAAGGAACAAGCACAACCTTCAAAAGGTAATGGAAAGGTCAAAGTTCTGGGAGGTCTTAACATTCCCCCATGCACTGATTATGCAGCTTTCAGACTCTGTGTGGCTGAACTGATTAGTTATTTGGTGAAATCTGTGGAAACACTGCTGCCTTGGCTGGTCACCCCCTGGAATTTGTGACATAATTTGTTGCATTCTGTCAAATGGAAAACTTGCACCTGATATGGTACTGACCATGCTTGCAATTTCAGAAGCTTTCTTGGCTCGTCTTATCTCCGGCGTATCTGGACCAACGTCCATGCCCTTCCCTTTGATTTCAGTTTCCAGGTCTTTCTTGTATTGTCTCTGTGAAGACAAAACTTATACATTATATTCACAGTATCCAGAGAGTTGCACGTAGATATTTTTGCACAAGAATATAAGATTTGGAGTCAATCAAAAGTCTCAAGTTAAGAGTCACAACACTTTCAAGACTCTTGGCAGAAAAACCGGAGGAGAAAACTGTCAAAAGTCTCAAGTTAAGAGTCACAACTCTCAAGACTCTTGGTAAGCTTTTGGCAGAAAAACAGGAGGAGAAAACTATTTGGAGTCAATCAAAAGTCTCAAGTTAAGAGTCACAACACTTTCAAGACTCTTGGCAGAAAAACCGGAGGAGAAAACTGCAAACTACAGGAGGAAAACTTTTAGAAGATATTCACTGAATGTACAAACCTCTACCACTGAATTTCTAATGTGGGAGGAAATCAGTTCATACAGCTTGCTACAATTATCCTCTGAAGTAAAGGGGAAGTTCAGCCCTGCAGAACATAGTGTAATAAGGGACTTGGTGCCAGCCTAATTGAAACACATTTTACTTTTAAGAAAATATTTTATTTATGAAAAGACCACATGTTAGAAATTTAATACCATACAGAATTGCTTCCAGTGAACTTTCAGAGCAGGAAGTTGTAATTTATTCATTTAATAGGTCTTTCCTGAACCATAGCCATTAGGCAAGTGGCAGTACTCATCCATGATTGCTGCTTTTTCCTCACAACATAAATTATAAATAACCAATAACCTGGAAACAAAATGAATATTCCATCTTCTGCTTATCCAAGCAAGGATGTATTTCTCATTCATCAACAAATTGTATTAAAATGTAATACTGAAACATTGCATACAATAGTTGTTCTCTTTTTTACATAAAAAATTAAAATATTCTCAGTCAGTGCTATTCTGCTACTATAGTAGTAATCACTCTTTTCCTATTCCAGTTCAACATTGCCTGTGGAAAATTTTTATTTCAAAATAAATACATACTCCTTACTTTTCTTGTTTGTTAATTATTTTTAGGTCATACATTAGTTAGAAAAAAAGAAATATCTTTCAACTCAATGCAATGGTCTGATCATTTATAAGAACAAGAGCAAAAAGATTTTTGGTCTTCCATCTGTCTCACCCTGATGTGGAAATAAATGTCACAAAACAACTCTCTACTTTGCAAATCACATTTTTTTTCCAAAGTTAACCTGTGGGAAGACATCATCCCTCAATTCCTCTCCGGTAAACGTGGGATGGCAGATGTTTCCTCCTAGCTTCAGATTGTGCAAAATACCAAGGAAAAGCCAATCCTGGGAGTTACAGCTGCATAGTCCAGCACTTTGTGGCAGTGCATGGCATTCCCTCTGGATTTTATGGCAATCTACATATATGTGTGCAAATAAACATATATTTACATATATACATATTAGATGAATATAAAATATACACATATATAAAATAAAAATGTGTTACTCTAAAGTAATGAGTCCCCAAGGGCAGAAAGCTTTGCCTTCCCTCTTCCCTTCCCACACCCATCCAGACCTGCTGCTGCTTGACAGAGATATCTTGGCTCTCTGGAAGACCACCCTGAAGAGCTCCTGTGCTCAGAAATCCATTCTAAATGCTGTATCTATTGACCCCACCAGCAATCTCCACTGACTTTTTAATTGCCTGAAAATCTGAAATAGTTGGCCTGAGTCCTTTTTTGTCCAAAGCTTTTCTATATTTTTAAAGCAAAACAGAAATAGCCTTAGTTTCAATACTTACATATTTCATTGTAGATTACGTAAAAACAAAACTAAAAAAGGAGGATCTTCAGCTGAGTTCAACATAAAGAGGGAACATTCTGTGATATCAGTAATGTTGACCAGCATAACATACCTCATTTAGTATCTGAGCTGCATTTTTCACTCTAATCAAGTCTGGTGTATCTTCAAACACTGTCATTCCTTTTCCTTTCATCCCTTCTTCCAAATCTTTTCTATACTCTTTCTAAAGATTAAAAAAAAAAAAAAAGATTTCTCCCCTTAATATTGTGTGCAAGATCTTGAAAAGAAATGCCACTTATTAAATGTCTGAAGAGTCTCTTTGAAATTTCTATGAAATATGAATTAGCTGAAGTACAGATTTCAGAGTTAGAATTGGAAATTGTGAAATCAAAAGGTACAATGTTGAAAAAGTGAAAAGGTTTTAATGTCCTGATATATTTTTTGTGCTCTTTAAAACCAACCCTCTCCTATACAGCACTAGAACACTGTTTAGGGGCCTTGACTGCCTCTGGACAGACATTTTAGCTGCAGTAGCATTTTCTTTTTACAGACCAATATATGCTGTGCTTCAGTTTTTACCTCTCATCCACTAATGGCATCCCAATCAGGATGGATTCCCTGAACACCATACTAGGACCTGTTAAAACAACTGCTTGATAAATTAGAATGTAGAAGCAATATTCCTACCATATCACTCCTATGCCTCTCAGACACTGCACTGATATGATCTATTAACATTCAGCAACTGCAGCCTCCAGAGTACTCAAATGTTCAGTATAAAATTCAAGGCACATGAGAACCTGTCCACAGACATTTTGTTCTTTATCCTCTTCCCAGCTCCTACAGAGCTGATAGAAGCCTACTGATGTTCAAGATCTT